GGGGGTCGGGCGGATGGACGGTCCCAGGGCCTGGTGAAACTTGGAGCCACCTCTGGGCTCTCTCCCGTCAACCGGCTTACTCTGGCCCCCGTTAACACCCCCATCGTCGGACTTCCTTCCCCCGGGGCGGCCGGTGGGGGTGCTCCCTTCCTACACCACCCCCGCCTGTCTGTGGGTATGTCAGTCGGTCCCTGACCCCCCTATCCTACCCCATGCAGCCTTGGGGTGTGGGGCGGAATTCTGGGATCCTTGTGCCTTTCCCTCCTCCTATCCCCCAGCTAGTCGCCCCCGTTATCCGCCGGGCAGTTTGTCTGTCTGCTCGCCCCCCTGCCTTGTGGGTTTTTCCAGCCAGAATGATGGAGCCGGTTGCTATGGCAACTGCATCTGTTTACAGGACCTGCAGATCGCAGAGCTCATTAACCCTTTACCTTCACGCCCCCCTCAACCCCGACCCAGCAGCGACTGGCTCTAAGCAGCCCCAGAGACCTGGTCCCCACCACCAGCTCACCTTGGGTTTCCCTGCCCCTCCTGTCAGGGCTTCCCCCCCACCAGGTTTCCTCCCCACTTTCCAGCTTCCCTCTTCCTCCTGCCCCCGCTTTCCCCTTTGTCTGGTGTTCCCTTTGGTCTGTCACTCTGGCCTGGCCTCATACCTGGTCCTTCAGAATGTCCATTTCTCATTTCTTTATCCTGACCTCCTCCCCTTAGGAGGGTCCCTCCCCCCGCCCCATTCTCTCTCTGGGGTCTTTTCAGTGCTGCCCCTGCCTGGTTCCCTCCCTCTCACTACAGAACTAACCATCAGCCTTCACTTCATTGTTTGTGGCTTTTGGCCCCCGTTTGCTGCCTTCCCTCCTCCTCTGTCCCCTGAGGTTTTGGCCCCCCTCAATCCTCTGTCCACACAGCCACCCATCTCAGCCCTGGCCTGCTCAGCATCCTCTGCTGGCACATCTAGCACACACCTCCCTGATCTTCTTCCCCTCTGGGGGGTGCCCTTACCGCCCTCCAGTCTCCCCTACTCCTTCCTCCTTTTCTTCCTCTCACTTCCTCCCCATTGCCTTACCTGCTTCCTTCCTGGTCTCCCCACTTCCTCTCTCCTTTCTTTTCCTGGGACCTGCTGCCTGCCTGCTCCATGGTCCTCCCTGGCTCTTGCCCAGTCTCTCCCTTCACCATCCCCTGCTGTCCCCACTGCCTGTCTCTTTTACATCAGGACTCCATGGACTCAGACTGTCCCTCCTGTGTGAGCGAGGCCCCCACAGGCACCTTCATACACAAACCCTATCTCCAGCCCTGGCTTTGTCTCGCTGTGTGTGGGTCTCTCAGGTGCTTTTTCTTTTATCTCCCCCTTTCTCTGGTTCTGTTTCCCTCCCTCCATTCCCCCGAGTCTATCTTGGTCTGAGTCTCCTATCTCTTCTGGGCCTTGGACAATGCTGTGGGGTAGAAGCAGGAAGGAGGGCTGGGGTCCTAAGGACCGGAAGGAATTGAGGCTGGGAACACAAAGCTCACTAGCTCCTAGGGGAAAGGCTCCTGGAATTCAAGAAGCCACTTTCTCAGCCCTTCCCCAACCAGACGCCTCCCATACCCCCTATAGGGGTTCCTATCCTCAGAGTATCCTCAGAGCAGTCCATCCAACTAACTTGTACTGATGATGCCTAGGAACCAGCTCTGGACAGCTTTGGGGAGTTAAGGATTAATAAGACTCAGACTTTGCCTTTGTGGGGCTCCCAGGCTGGGAGAAAGGGCCTGAGATTTCTTAACAAATATTTGAGCACCTACTATGTGTCAGGCACTGTGTTGGTTCTAGCTACTCAGCTATCTAGCTGGGTGATCTTAGCAAAGCCCTTCGTCCTGAGTCTGTTTCCTCGTTGGTAAAATGTGCTGTGGTGTATCCATCGCTGCCCAGAGCAGTGCCTGCCCAGGGGGTGGGGACAGGAGGTGTGGTTCTCAATTCAAAGTGGCAAGAACTAGAAGCTCCCAGGGTAGGACCCCAGATCCCACCCTACACCCTGATCCCAGGCCCCACTGGTCGCTAGGCAACGCTGGTGGTGAGTGATGCGTGTCAGCTGTCACCGTGGGGGATTGTTTGTTCCAGGGGGCTGAGTCAGTGCCAGGCAGCCTGGGGGGTGGGAGGCGAGACACCCGCCTCCTGCTGCTGATGCCAGCTCTGGGGCAGACATACGGCACCCTTCCGCTCCCTGCTGGACCCTGTTGCTATGCCTGGCAGGCAGGGGCTGCCCAGAGTCAACGGGGAGTTGGGGGCGCTGCTCCAGATGGCCCCAGCTCCCTCCAGGAAGCCCATGTTCTCTCTCCAGCCTTCTGGGGTCTGAGCTGCTTTGGTGTGGTGGGCCTGCTGTCTCATCCTAGGGCTGCTTCTGAGAGGAGCAGACCCCAGAAGTCTCCAATGCCAGCCCTCCTCCCATGCCAGCTCACCCCCGATCTGTCCCATCATCCCCTCAAACACTGTTCTCCCGCTCCCTGAGAGTTCCCCATCCCAGTGAGGACACTGCCATCCACCAGGTGCCCCAACACCCAAAGGCACTTTGGGCCCCTCTGCCTCCACTCCTCCACCATTCAAGTCCTCTGGAGTTGGCCTTTAAATAGCTCTGCTACTCTCCTTACTCAGATCACCATCAACACCCCCCACCCCAACGCTCCAACAGTCCCCTCACTGGTCTGGCCTGGGTATGATACAAGTGGTTAAGGATTTTAACTCTGGATTCTGGGTTAGCATGTTGGCTTGCCACTAACTAGCTGTGTGTGTGGCCTTGGACTAGTTACTTAACCTCTGTCTCAGTTTCCTCATCTGCAAAATGGAAGTATCAGTACCTACATCATCAGGTACTAAATGTGTTCATAACATAAAGCCTGCTGGCGTAGAGTAAGCATCATGTATGTCTTGGCTGGGACCGTTAGCCAGTTTGTACTTCCTGCTCCATCAACCCTAAAACATCAACCTGACCAGACATCAACCCACTCTGCTGCTTTATACCCCTCATGGCTCCCCATTTCTTTTGTGTTAAAGTCCAAACATCGGGTCTCGTCTCACAGGGCACCCACGTCCGGCTCCACTGACCTCTCCGGCCCATCTTTCACCATTTTCTTATTTCTTCCCACTCACCTCACACTTTCATTCTAGCCCCATCAAATCTGGAGCTTCCCAAACATTCCTTGTTCTTTCAACCCTCTGGCCTTTGAACTTGCTGTTCCTACTGCTCAGACTGCCTTCCCCATTTGTTCACTAGACAAACACCTGCTCAGCGTCCAGCCCAAAGCCTCCATTATCCCCCTCACAGGCTCTTCCTGTACCCTGCAGCCCTGATCACCCTTGAATGTAGTTCACGGTTTTCCTCGCAAGCCTGGGGTTCCACCTGGGCAGGGGCTGTGTCCCAGGCCTCTAGGGCCCAGTGCTCAGCACAGGGCCGGGCAGACCAGACACCATCTGTTGGGGTGTTTTGGATGGAGGTGTCATGTACATGGCCTAAATCGGGCATCAGCACATTAGGGTTCCATTCCAGACTGTTGGGTGCACAAGGGGCCAGGTCCTGCCCCTTGCTGGGCCTTAGTTTCTCCACCTTTGCAGCAAGCTCCATCTGATCTGGTTCCTATGAATTCCCATCTCACAGAAGAACAGGTGGGGGGCCAGAAAATGCTGCCCCAACCCTGACGAGCACACGCCCCTTCCCCAGATTATAGCCTTTGACGAGCTGCGGACTGACTTCAAGAACCCCATTGACCAGGGGAACCCAGCGCGGGCAGTAAGTGATACATGTGCTGTGCCGAGGTGTGTCCGTCCGTCTGTCTTTCCATCTGTTGCGGGCTAAGGAGGGTGGGGGACAGGAAGACGGGGGTGTATGTGGGGGGACTGCTGGCCTTGCCCCTTCCTGTCTGTCCCCGCCCCCAGAAAACACCTGGCGCGGGCTCAGGGCTCGGGTTCCTCCGGGCGGGGTGGCCGTTGCCAGGCTCTGGGCCGTTGCCGTGGAGACGCGGGTGAAGGTCCCTCCATGGTGACGGTTGCCATGGTGACGAAGCGGCCTCCTTGACGTGCAGACAACGCCGCAGACTGCTCTGGCGCCCCCTAGCGGCCACGTGCAGGGTGGTGGGGGAGTGCGGGAGGATGGCGGGGCGCCCCCAATGCCCGCTCCTCCGCCCCCCATCGCAGCCTTTTCCTCCCTCTACAGCGCGAGCGTTTAAAAAACATCGAACGCATCTGCTGCCTCCTGAGGAAGGTCAGTGTCAGGGTTGGGGGCAGGAGGCTCCTAGCCCAGCTCAGCCCCACTGTGATCTTCCTAACCTGGGAACTGTTTGGTCTGCTCTGCCACCAGGGAGGAAGTGGGAAGCTGAGGCTCTTTTAGTTCTCAGAGGTCACTGTGGGTGCCCTTGAAGCTTGGGTCCTGGCACCAGGCCGCTGACCTCTCATCCTCACTCCCCAGCTGGTGGTCCCAGAATATTCCATCCATGGCCTCTTCTGTCTGATGTTTCTGTGTGCAGCAGAGTGGGTGACCCTGGGCCTCAACATCCCCCTCCTCTTCTACCACCTCTGGAGGTGAGGGAAGCGGCCACCTCGGGGAGGGGGAAATGGGGGAGCAGGGATGGGATGGGGGTGGGAGCCTCCATGGTGGGCACTCAGGCCCCTCCTTCGCCCCAGGTACTTCCATCGCCCTGCGGATGGCTCTGAGGTCATGTATGATGCCGTCTCCATCATGAATGCCGACATCCTCAACTACTGCCAGAAGGAGTCCTGGTGCAAACTCGCCTTCTACCTGCTCTCCTTCTTCTATTACCTGTACAGGTGAGGCCCTGCCCACGCAGTCAGAAGTCAGGGAAGGGATGCTCCTGGTGCCATGCCTTCAATCCTAGGAATGGCTGGGCCCCAAGTTCCTGCCCTTTGCCCTTGAGGACTGAAAGCATCCCAGGGTGTGACAGGGTGGTGTCCAGTAGCCAGGCCTGCTCCGGACTCGGCTTACTGCCTCATCTTCCCACAGTATGGTTTATACGCTGGTGAGTTTCTAAGGGGGAAGCCGGCCAGGGAGCGAGCCCAGAACGGACCGGACGCCTGTGCACCCCCAGCCCTGCTCCTCGGCCACAGAGGCCTCAGCCCTGGGGAGGGAGGGGGCACTGGTGCCCCCAGCCTCCTCTCCACCCCCCAAACTGCTGCTGCGGGGACCTCCCGCCTTCAGAGCCCCCTCCCCTCCGACTAGGGCTGGGCAGAGCTCTAAACAGGGGCAGGAGCTCCTCTGCCAGCCTGTGGCCATGGCAGTCAGTCCTGGAAGGGGCGGGACCTTTGGCCTTGTCCACTTCGGGGGAACCTTGGACCCTGCCGAGGGGCAGGGCTTGACCCTGGAAGTTCTGGGCCGCCCCCATTCACCCCCACCCTAAGGCGCCCCCTGCAGGTGGGGGGGTACCCACACCCAGAATGAGCAGGCTCAGCAGGGGGACAGCCCCACCCCTAGTCTGCCCTCTCCCCTCCCCCAGGCTCTCTCTCTTCAGACCCTTCCCTGTCCCCACTTACCCCAACCCCAGCCCACCCTGTCTCTTGGATCTATTTTCTATGTTGCCTGGAGGAGTCCAGCACCCCCTCCCCGGCCATTTGTGACAAAATATGAATAAACTACTGCAAACATGTGGGCCCTAGTTCTGCTCCTGAAGGGTGTAAAGAGGAGATAAGGCAAAGGGACCGGATAGGGGACAGCCCTGAGCTAAACTCCCACCAGCCCACAGACTCCTCTGGTGACGCTCTCAGATGGATCAGAAGTCTTAGACTTCGAAGTCTTCTTGGCAGTTGTCCCCTTCTATTGTCACTTTCCCAGATACAGATAAACAGCTGTTCTTAATGAAACCCTTCCATCTGCCTTTCAAGGTAGTATCAAGGTCACCAACTCCAGGAAGCCCTCCCTGGGTCCCCCTCCTCCTAGAGAGCCCCAAGTCTGTTCCCCTGGACAATGCAGAGGCCCAGAGGTATCAGTGACCTGCCCCCCAGGCCCCAGAAACTAGGGTCAAACAGAATCAAGGAAATCAAATCTTCAATGTATGGAAAAATCAGTGCCGGTGGGGGCCAGGGGTCACCGGACCAGGTGGAAGGTCAGCCAGTATATGATGAGGGGCTGGAAGGCTGCAGCACCCAGAGTCAGGTAGAGCTGGAGATGCTGCCGGGGAGCTGGGCCCCCCATGCTGTCGGGGCCCAGGGCTGCTGTTCGCAGAGAGCGCACCTGGAAGAAAGGAGAGCTGAAGCTGAGCTGAGGTGGGGGAGCAGCTCGTCCCCAGCTCCCACCCAGGAGGAGAGGGGCAGAGGCAGCCCAGACTCACGATGAAGTACATGAGCGCAGACGAAGTCCAGGCCAGTGCCACGTAGTAGCCATCGCTGCCAAAGAGCAGCCCTGTGAGCACACTGAGGATCATCCTGTGGGGCGGGAATGAGAAGGCTGGAGACCCCACAAGGGGCCACACTAGAGGTTGGCCCCACCCTCCAGGGCCCAGATCCTAGCCAAGACCCACCTACCACCACCCAGGACCCTTTACCCGCAGTTGGCCCCCACAAGGACCTAGACTCAAAATAAACCTGGAAGGACCAGGACGTGGTCCAGGACATGGATCTGGGACCACCATCGCGACCTCAGCTCAAGGCCCCTCTCCCCTGTGCTCCCAGGGTGACTACATTCCTGACCTCTTGAACGACACTACAGTGTCTGAAGAGACTGCTGGAAACAGCTGGTTCCTCTATGATAGAGGAGACAGAGGTTGAGAGAGGGGTAGGGGTATGTCCAGGGTCACCATCTGAGGCTGGGGTTACAGGCTAGGAACCCAGGGCCACAGTCCCCTCCCCCAGGTCAGCCTCCCACCAGGCCCCCAGGTTCTCACCCGACATATTTGTAGCCACTGTAGGCCAGCAGGTGGAAGGTACTCAGTTCACTGCGCACGGCGGCCAAGTAGACGCCCAGAAGCAAGGCTAGCACCTCCAACATGACCCACACCAGCGCTGTGCTTGCACACAGGCCCAGCACCTCTGGGGAGAACCTGTGGCCATGTGGAGGTGGGGTGGGGGAATTGAGAACCAGCCATCCTATGGCTCAGGTGTAACTAGGAGTAGGGGGGGCGGGGCTTAAGGCCTGGCACAGATTCCCTAGGGAGGTGAAGAGAAGAGCAGGGGTGGGGAAAAGTGGTAGGAATGGGGAGGGAGTTGGCACTGACCTTTTCTGAATGCCCAGTGCCATCCCAGCCAGCAGCACGTAGGTGATGAAAGCCATTGCTGCCAAGAGCCAGAGATGCCATCAGCCAGGTTTCCTCAACTGGAGACCCCCAACTAGGCACCTGAGGCCACTGACACCCCTACCTCCCCTCATACTTCCTTTCCTGCATATCTCAACCCAGCCAACCTCCACACTCAACCCCCAGTGCTTTGCCTGGGGCGCCTTTCCCCGATCAGTCCTGTATAAATGCCACCTGACCCTTCTCTCAGGACTACCAAGCCACCTGCCTCCCTATCCCTGTGCTAGCAAACTCACCAAAGTTTCCTTCTGTGCCTCAGAAACTATATCACTGGTCAAGGCTACTGCTCATCCTCTAGACCCATAGGCAGGGGCCAAACTGATCTCAGGAAAGACTATAGGACCAATGTGCAGGCTCAGCGGACAGCCTAGACTGTCCCTGGAGCCTGGGCCATGGGGAATGACCTCACCACAGCCAGAAATTCTAAATCTGGGCATCGGCGCTGGCTATAGCTCTGACCATTCTTCCAATGCAGAGAGCTACACATTTAACTATTATTTTCACAAAAGCTCAGAGCCGGTGGGAGCTGGGCTGTCATAGCAGTTTTCCTCATCAGTCCTGTCCTCTGCCCCCGAAACAGCCGGACTGATGTGCCCACTAGAGGGCAGTGTCTGGAGTCCGGAAACCAGCACTACCACCAATAAGCTATGTGGCCTCGAAGATGATTCAAGTTTCTCAGAGCCTTGGCTTTATCATGTAAAAGGGGAATGGAGTTCCCACCTTATACGGTGGTCCTGAGAGGGAAACGGAATGAGGGATGGAAGAACCCATGTCCTTCCTGGGGCAAATGGGCTGGCTAGCTGCCCTTCCGGCAGCTCCTCTGAGGGCTGGTCCAGGCACACCCACCCCTCCTCCAGTGTGTCCACCATGGGCTTTGCCTTGTGCAGGCCACAGAATGGAGAGGAGTCAGGTGCAGAGTCTGCCAGACAAAGCAAAGTGTGGGGAGCATGATCTGTGCCATGCAGACGGGCAGTTCAGGAATGCAGAGGGAGTGACCACTTCCTCGGAGGAGGCGATGTTGGAGCAGGAACAAGTAACAATAATGATTAACAGCTACTGTTTGCTGCGTGCTTCCTATGGGCCGAGCACACGTCACCTCACTGAGTCTCCATGAAATCCTTTGCAATAGGGACTGTTCTTATTCCTGTTTTACAGAAGAATGAAAGTAGCCAGCTTGAGGTCTCAGAGCTGGAAGGTATAGGGCCAGGCCTAAACCCAGGGCTCCAGGCTGGGGAGGGTCATAGTCCAAGTCAGGAGGCAGGAAGGTATCAAAAGGGCATCCCCCGAGGGCACTGAAGGCATACCCAGGAAGCTCCTTACCAGTCACCCTGTTTTTGTCTACCTGGTATCTAGTGACCACCACACACAAAAGCACCAAGAGCAGATGTTGAATCAATGCATGAGCCTCCTTATTGATGCCTCAAGACACAAGTCCTCCCACGTCTCCCAGCCCAGGTCAAAGACTCACTGGGGATATAGAGGTCAGGGGCGTTGAGATCTTGTCGCGGGGGCAGAGGTACATCACGACTATACCGCACTTCCCAGTTCTGGCAGTGGCAGCAGCGGCCAGGTCAGGAGGAAAAGACAAGAGAGGAAAGAAGGGGGTTGACGTGTGGGGACCAGACTCGGGCAGGATGAGGGAAGCAAGGGGGCCCGCCAGCTCACCTGGTAGGCAGCTCACCTGGTGTGTATAGGGGAAGACCAGTAGCCCTAGCTTCTTGGCCACATAGGCTGTGTCCACAGCGAAAAAATACTTGAGTTTGTTCACAGACACAAAACGGTGCAGCTGGGAGGGGAAAGAGGAGGCTGTGGGCAAGCTGCACCCCAAACATCAGGTGCTCCTCTGTGTGCTCCTTCCCTGAGGGCTGCTGTGAGGATTAGGTGGATCCCATGATGCCCCAGCCCTGGCCACAAATCCTGCCACCCTTGCCCTGGGGAAGGGCCACACCTCCTTGTGCACCATGTCCTTCCCATGGGTTGCGATGGAACTGCCATAGGCCATAGCCACGTTGGCCATTGGGTCCCCAAGCAAGTGGTTGACATTGAAGGCCACGTCGGCTCCCGGGGCTGGGTATCCCCCTGGCTGGCTGGAGTAACCACCGCTTGTATCATCGAAGAGGGGAGGGGGATCCGGAGCTGCCCGGGCCCTGTGCTTGGAGCCTGTGGGTTTGTAGGTACCAGAGTAGGTGACAGAAATACTAAGCATGAGCCCAAACCACCGCCCCTTCCCTAGGGGTCCTGAGAGGTGCTAAATGTATGCAAAGAAAGAACTGAGGCAGCACCTGGAAGTAGTTGCGCACCTGGGGGATCCTGGGGGCCATCTCAAGGGAAGTGATCTCTGAACTGAGACTTAGAGAGTGAGTAGAAGTTTGCTAGGCGGTACCTCCAAATGAACAAAGCGGGGAAACGCGGCCGCTGGGTAATCAGAGGCCCTGGGCAGTGGTTAGGGACCCTACCAGGGTCATGACAGGGAAAGAAATTTCTGGAGACGGACCCTTTCGTGCCCAGATCGAGCACGGGGATCTCAGAAGTGCTGTCACTGCCCGATCTTAGGACTGGGCCGAGGGGGCGAAGTCCCGGACGCGTTGCCGAGTCACGCGGGGCAGGAACCCGAATGACATCGCCGCCCTGGGCAGCGGTCACGGCCGCCCCAAGCCCTCAGGGTGAGCGGGCCGCGCCGCCGACCCTCCTCAGGCCGATCGGGCCGCGCCCCGCCCTCCCAGCGCCCCACGCACCGTGGGCTCCGTAGCCCGAGTGATAAGCCATGGCCGCGACGCTCGCTCTCTCGGAGGGTCCGCTGTGCCGCCTCGTGGGTACGAATGCTAATGAGACAGCTGCTCCACTCCCTGGGCACCGACCGGGGTTACGGAGCAGCCCGACACGTCCCCGGGATATGCGACCGCAGCCGCCATGTCCGGCGCGTCAACCTACGCCGCCTGCCATTGGCTCCTCCGCCGCGTTGGTTCGTCCCTCCCCTCTCCCAATTGGCTCCTGGAGCGGGGTCGCCGAAACGGAGTCAGCCGTGGTCAACTTCCGGACTGGGGATAGGCGGGGCAATTAGAGGCGCTCTCGGATTGGGTAATGGGCTTGCTGGTTCGGTGGGAGCAGCCAATAGATAGGTTAAGGTAAAAGAGTGTTGCGAATTAATTTTGCGCCCGCGCAGTGGAGCCCTTGATGCTCGTCTTGCCACGACTACACCAGGCGGAGACCGGGAGGAGGCAGGTGGCGGCTGGGGTCCGGGAACGAAGCTTCACTCACAGCACGTACTCCAGGAGGAAATGGGGCGGTAGGGCCCTGCCAAGCCTCGCCCCTCAGGGCATCTGCTCCTCCTCTCAATGCTCGCTTTCTTCTCCCGTCCCCCACATTTCCCCAAGTCCTGGCGCGGAGACCGGGCTGCCTGGGAGGTGTTGGTAGGAGGACGGGCCGGGCATTGACAGCGCAGCCAAGCGAGCCCCGGGATGCTGAGTCCTCCTCCTGCCTCCCACCCCGTTTCCGCGCGGGTGCTGTCCGTTGTCCGGTGCTGAAATGCTCTACTGCTACTGCCGTCATCCTGCAGATCCCAGGGGTCTGCTTCTGGAAGGTTCTGGGCTCTCGATCCACACAAACACCCATTACACATATTGAAAAACCGAAGTCCAGAATATCTGAAGTCCCAGATATTGGATGGTATAGTTGGGACGGGATACTGCCCAGGCTTGTCCCGCCGACTCTCCAGTGATCCAGCCGATTTAAGGTTGGAGGTGTCCTGATTTGCTTCCTGAAGCTGCGGTTGAAACACCTGAGTCATTGCTGGTCCTGTGGTTATGTCGAAGTGAGACCACCCCCCTTCCCAAGCCTCACCGTGATTCAGGGTCTCCTTTCTCTCCACCCAGTTTCTGACCACTCCCACCCTCCTGGGAGACAGTCCTCGGGGGCCAATCTTCTCACAGACCTTCAGCCACCACTTTCTAGAGATTAAGATCAGGTCCTCTATGACCTGCCTCTAGTGTTCAGCTACCTAGTGTTCAGTTACACCAGGTGACCTTCCTGCTCTCCAAACTCACCCTTCGTGGTCTAATCGCAGTGCTTTTATCCAGAAGTCCCTCCATCCGGGATGCCCTTCCCCCTTATATCCACTTGTCCAAAGTCTAGCTATTCTTTAAGAGTCAGTTTTACTTATGCCTCTCAGAGTGACAAAGGGAACAGAGGCTTAACCTGGCTTGGGGTGGAGGAGGAAGGCCAAGTTCTAGGCTCCCTCTGGGTGAGTGAGTTTGGCCTGGATGTAAATTTCATGAGGACAGGGCCTATGTTATTCTCCCTTCCTACCCTTGTCTTCACAGTGCTAAGCACAGTACTTGGATATAGAAGACACTCGATAAATATCTGTGCCATTAAATAAATAATGAATGGAACCCTAGGTCAGTCCTTTCTTCTCTCTACCATTTCGGTTACTTCATCTTAAAGTAGTTAGAGATGTTGACCCAAATGGCCTTTGAGTTGTCCCTGGTGGGAAAAAAAATCACAAAACAAAACCCATCAGCATTGCAGCTCTCAATGTCCTAGACTGATTGTCTAACTTGCGGGGCTAGGCCCAGACCCAGCCACAAGTGTGAAGGTCTGAGGCTCCTGAGGACCAAGGAGCAGCACTGAGCCCACGGATACCTGGGAGGGGGTCCTCCCATGCAGGACAGACCCCACTGTATGATGAATGTTCGCCCATTGAATCCAACACCTATCTCAGGAGGGAAAGCAGAGGTTTGTGGGTTGAGAGTGCCAAGCCAAGGTCATACAGCCTAGAGCCCAGGGTCTCCTGGCTCCCATCCTGCCTCCTTATGTGGATCCCAGAACCTCTGTCCAGCTAATGAAGCTCATCACATCTTTCTCGGCTGTAACTGCCTCCTCCCCTACAAGCGAGGATGGGGTCTGGGTGGGCTGAGGCCTGGGCCTGCTTTGCAGATATGGGACCCCGCGGGGACCCAACCCACCATCGAGATTCCTTCTCGTTTTACAGCGGGGGCAACTCAGGCCCCAGAGAGCAAGGACTCGCCCAAGGTCGCAAGCGCAAGCGCTTCAGGAGGGGAACCCAGGCATCAGTTCTCCCAGCCTGGGCTTCCTAAGGGCGGGGGCAGCGCCCGCGGTGCCAGGCGCTGCCGGCTG